CGTCCTCGGCCTGGACGCCAATTGCTTCTTCAACCTCCCTTCCTTGTTCATGTGGTATCACCCCTGGGAAATGATCAAGAACTCCTCCTGCTTCACTTTCGTCATCCTCCACAACTTCTTTCTGCATCCTTTCTTGCTCTTCTTCTTCTAGCACGGATTGGAGAGCAAGTTGCCAAGCAATTTCTTTCATGAGATCTTCTTGCCTCTCCTCACTCATGCCCACCTCTTTAAAGCTCGGTGTGGGATGTGGGAAGGGGTGGTCGGCTACGACAGGACATTCTTGATCATGATCTTCACGGGAGCTCTCCGTGATAACTTCTGTTTGCTCCACAATGTCCTTGTAGCCTTCTACTTCCTCCTCCTCCTCTAGTATGGTAGCAGAAGGGTGATCTGGAGCAGGTTGTGCACAAGATCGCTCAAGATCATCGACGCTCTTCTTAAGGCTCAGGAGGATCTCCTCTGTTTCACGATAGGCCTGAGTACAAAGATCCATCCTGGCACATGATCTCTCACTGTCTCGAGCAAACTGCTCAATGAGAAGCCTCAATTCACAGTTTGGATCTGGCTGTGGAGTGTAGCATGGCTCTGCAGAATGGCCCGTGAAGGCCGCCATGGGTAACTCCAGCGTCGATGGCCCTTCTGGTTGTGGGAGAAATTCTTCTTGGTAATGAGGTTGTTCTTGATATGCCCAGGGGTCCGGTTGTTCTCCGTAGTAAGGGGATTGGTACTGGAACCCGAATCCATAGTCTTCTCCTCCTTGATTGCTCCAGGGGGTCTCGGGGTAATACCACTCGGATGGTGGTGGATACCCCCAATGGTTGGAGAAGCCATTAGGATCCATGATTCAGATCTGCACCAACAAAAAAAAAAACCCAAGTGAAAAGCAAGGGCGGAAAACAAAAGAAAAACGCTAAAGTAACAAACTTCTGCCTTTCCTAATAATCTAGAAAGTCCCCGGCAATGGCGCCAAAAACTTGACACGCCAAAACACAACACCAAACTGCGACCAAGTGTAATCGCAGTCCGGGAATGCAGTAACAGGCAAGTTATATTATCAACCCGGGGTCTAGATCTACTACTTACTCCGTGATTCTCTATTATCTAGCAAACTAATTCGAGTGATTGTTGTTAAAGCTAAAGCAGTAAGAAAGCAGTAAATTGTTCGGTTTTCAAAGTCAGGAAAGAGTCACTCGGGATTGAGTCCCCCTAGCCCTTAGTTAGGTTCAATTGCAATTCCTTGGGTTGATTTACTGTTGATTAGACTGCGGAAGATCCGACAGTAGCCTGGAATCTCTTAAGCTGACCAAGCCCTCTCAGTCTAACTACCCGGCAGACGACTAGTCTTCACCGGGATAGAAAGCTGAGGCTATGAACACAGAACTCCACTACTGTAATTGAATTCCAGTACAAAGCAGTAAACTGGCTAACTCTCGAATAGCCAATCTCCTACTATCAAATGAAGAGGCTCTAACAACCTAATCAGATTCTATCTATCTCAGGTTGCAGCAGAAATTGAGAAAAGCTTATCAGACTCCAATCAATTCAATAAACATGCATCATTCGATTAAAATCAAACAGTAATATCATCCCAAGTCATTACAATCAAATCCCTAACACAAGGAACTAGGGTTCTTCATACCCAAGTGAGAGAAGGGTTCTACTCCATAGAGAGAGAAGAGAAAACAGTAATCGGAGTAGTCATACTCATAACGATGAGGAAAATCTGCTCCGGGATGATGATTTCCACTCCTATGCCGATCTCCAAGCTCGATTCGACGAAACCCAGCTCCAAGATAGCTTCTAGGATGTGTTCTTTGCACTTTCTCTCTCTAGGGCTCTGTTTTTGCTCTGAAAACACGATTCTGGGCGAATTACGGTCGTAATTCTTCCATGCCCGTATTTTGCCCAAAACACGCGTTTTGGTTATGTTTCAGCGCACCCAAAGCTCCTCTCGGCAGTGAAATTACGGGCATGGGAGGCCAAATTACGGTCGTAATTCTTCTGCCCGTAATTCTTCCTCCTCTCCTGTTCAAAGCTTCGTTTCTCCCTCGTTCGGACTCCGAATCAGTCGCCGTTTGAACCCTGACGCTCGTAGTCTCGTTCTCTTTCTTTTAATAACAAACTTCCATGATAATTTGTCCATAATATGAGGTAGAAATCCATTATTCCTCAGGTCATGCTCGTGTTTCTTCTCCCGAATTGCAAAATGATCTCCGATTGACTTGAAACTTGCGCCTTTGCTTCAATTTACATGATAGGACCTGAAATGTGACAAAGGAACACAAACTAGCATAAAATAGTCCAAGAAAGAAAAAACTCAAGCCAAAATGATCAAGAAACGAGGGTGCAAACATGTGCAAATACGACGTTATCAGTCACGGTTAACCGCACTAACCGCGGTTAACCGCAAGTAACCGCGTCACTAATCGGTTAAATTGCGGTTACATGTTGTTCAGTTGCGATTGAGGTTAACCCGCAAAGCGCAAGACATGCAATATTGCTAACCGCAACCGCAAAATACCCTATTTTTTTGGTTTTCGGTTAACCACTAATCGCGCAGTTTCGATGCGGTTAGCGATTTAAGTTTTAACTGCAAAACCGCAACCGAATTCCCACCCCTACTTTTACTGTAACTTGTACTAGTCATATATTTTTTATTGTAATTTTAATTTCATTTTTGGAAAGAACACCCCTATATAAAATTTCTAGATCTGCTACGAGATACAGGTGGCAGAAACCAAGGTGATTGGTTGATTGCCTAACATTTTGGAAATATCAAATTAATAGCAAAGGCAACTGAAAGTTGTCAGTCTTATATAAGCTCTAGTTAGATCAATAAGATAGCTAGGAAGAAGTGATTATTATCTGCATGAGACATAGAAATCTGCAAATGCTTTGCCACATTGGATGAGAACTTGCAATTTAGCATGAGCCAAATGCACAACCAAAGGATGCAGTGTCTGAAAACACATTGAGAGGGCTGTGTCGGACCTGAAAGCCATATAAACAACGTATGAGGGTAAACACAGTCACGATGTCCCGGCTAAGGCTGCAAATGAGCCAAACTGCTCGCGAGCAACTCGACGTTCGATCGGAAAAAACTCGTTCGACACTCGACTCGTTGTTTAACAAGCCGGCTCGCGAGCTGACTCATTAGTAAACGAGCCAAGCTTGAGCTAGGCCATGCTCGACTTGATAATCTTGTGAGCTAGCTTGACTCGGTGGCTTGTTGAGCTAAGCTCGCGAGCTGGCTTGTTTAAAGCTTGTGGAAGGATTAATTACTATTCTGAACATGAAAATTATCTTGTTAATAAGGATGTGTATGGAAGTTAGATGTTATTTTTAGTTTCTAGAGTTCTTTTTATCATTTTTAATTTCTAATGTTCTTATTTGTACACATTTTTCAGCAAGAATGGTTTCAAATCGAGCTTATTTCGAGCCGAGCTTGTACTCAGCTTGACAAGCTGTGTTAATGAGCATTTACCGAGCTCTATCGAGCCTAACTCGAGTTGGATTATTTTTAATCGAGTCGAGCTCGAGCTCGAGCTGGATGATCAAAATTCGAGTTCGAGCCGAGCTCGAGTTAAATAATTTATAAACAAGCCGAGCTCAAGCTAAGCAAAAACTCGACTCGGCTCGTTTGCAGCCCTAGTCCCAGCTGCCAAAATTGGCCACAACATTGCCAATTGTCTTAATCATATTGCTAGCAACCAATTACCCTGAACGTCTCTTTATCTTTATTTCAAACTCTCTGCTCCCCCTTCTCTTTACATTCGGTTGCTCTTCTTTGCCTTCACAGAGCCGTCGTCGGCTTCCATTTGATGACTGGCGGTGGCCCAAGCTTCCTTTCCTTTTTGCTCTTTGTTTTTCCTTGCTTCCGTTTCTCTTGCCTTTGTTCTAGGTGATTTTCCATAAGATGTTCTATTTTTATTTCAATCTTTTCTATCTGTTGTGGCTTTTCGATTTCTCTCCTTTCTAGTTGAGCTGCCGCTCTTCATTCAAATCTAGAATTTTCTGTTGTGGGCTTTCCCTTTTAGGATCTAGAGTTAGCAACATGGGAGCATTCTCAAGCTGGTGGTATCGTTAAGTTGGTGAATTCATTCTCTTCTTTCCCTCTCCGTCCTCCGGGATGGTTGTGTTGCTTGGTCAATTGTCAGAATGTGGAGGGTTGGATCTTCTCCGGTTTATTGTGGTTGGGAACTGGTGCTTCCTTAGAGGTTTGTGCTCCCTCTTGATCTTCTGATCTCCTTTGAACCAGATCTCTCTATCTCGACTCCCTCTTCCTCTTCAGGTTGGAACAATCTGGTTCAATCCTTGTTCACCATCATTTAATCTTGAATCAGAGATTCTATGTGATGGATGTCTTCAACCAGTTCCCAAGAGACGACATAGGACATTGTTCTACTCAAACATCAAGGATTCCGATATGATTGGACAAGCTGATATGATCTTGTTGCCACTTTGTTTGAGTGGAAGCTAGAGGGATTTTGGATATTTTGCGTTTGGTTCAAGTGCTAAGCTCTTCCGAGCGGTTGGTTACAGTCTGTGTTTCGCTCTCATTTGCAATATTCTCAAGCACGAATTTGATTTCAATCGTCTGCCCTAAGATGCTATTCTCTTATTTTTTTTATCTTTTTATTTTATTGTGGCCACTGTTTTGATAAGGCTATCATATCATCACATGATATAGAAAGGTTGGTTGCAAAAACCAGTGTTGTAGTATTATGTAACTGTATAGTTTGGGGGTATATATTCTCAATGAAACCATCTGTTGGTGTGCATTATTTTTTGTAACATGATGAATAACATATGGAAAATAAAGTTAGGTTGTTTAACATCTTTCGTAGTGTTTTGACATTTTGTAGTTCAAGCAAGAGATTGGATAAGGAGGGTCCAATTTACAAACTTGGTAAGTCATTTTTATCTTTTGTTGTGATATTCATAATCAAATTCAAGAATGAGAATGTAAGAAATCAAAAGTCATCTCCTTGCAACTTGTAGTTCATTAGCCATGAAAGCGAGGCGAACACTAGATCAACAATGATTGATGAAAAACATAGACAATTTTTTTTATAGTTTTTCCTCTACTCGATACAAACAGTAAAGTGTCATCTATTCTCTCCCTCTCTCAGAAATTCGTTCAGCACTGCCGATCGCCCACTACAGCGATTCTCTAGCAGCAGCTGATCATCAGATTTACAAATGTTAAAGCTTAAAGTAGGAAAGTAAGGGCAATGCAAAGGAACTGTAGTTTGTAAGGTGGAAAGAACATGGAATGGAACAGAAGATGATTACATAGTTGGTTGGGCGGTTAAGATAAAGATCAGAGAAGAAATGAATTCACTTTGATAGAAAAAAGTATAAAAAAAGATTGCTCCCTTGAATTGCAAATTTCTTTCCTTTCCTTTATGTACTTTGTATCGCAGCTTCTGCAAAAAAGGTAAACACACCTTCTCCTCTCCTTCACTCTTTATAGTTTCTAGCAGTAAATATTCATAAGGCAGCGAGCTGACTTGCTAGCTGGTTGTGTTCATATTCTCACAAGCTCAATCTTCCTTGGTGATCAATGTGGGAATCTGGCCGCGGTTAACGAAATCAATCTTGTTCAACCTCAAACAACAGAGTACTTGCTCTGGCAGTTCTTCTGGCTTTTGTGCCTATCAGAAAAAAGGAAAGAAAAATATCGAGCTTTAATAACAATGGACGAAGTTTGATAACTCGACACTAAATCAGGCTTGATGTCATTGTTTTGTGTGTATACTAGCGGGGTCTGGTACCTGGATGGTCAAGCCAACATTGGCAATCCCAAGCTTCAGCCTGTCCCTAAATGATTCTAAGCCTTTCCTCGAAATGTAGCTGAATCGATGAATATCCAGGTCAATTTCCAAGTAGTTGGGGCCCTGTTATGTTTACATCGCAAGAAAGAAAAACTCATCAACCAAAATTCATAGCAGCCAGCCTTTTGATCTTCATATGACTAACAAGGGAAAAAAATTCCCTTACGCTGAAGAATTGGTGTTGCGGGCGAGAAAGAACTGGCTTCTCATTGTAAGCATGGATGAGCTTCTTCTCAGTGGAGCTCAAGTTGAGATCATCAGGATTTACAAGTCCTACCAAGAGCTTCAGCCTTTCCCTGAATGGAACTGTGGATTCTTTGGCAAACCCCTTCACCTTCTCCATTTCATCCTCCACAAATTTCTGACATCCACATAAGAAAGGGGGAAAAGTTGGAAGTCATTTAACTAAACAAAAGGCTGCATGCAGTTAATCGTATCGATATTCTACTGCAAAATGAGTCCATTCATCACATTGATTGATTGGTTACCTTGAGTGTCTCCTTGAAATGTGGAGAGACTTCTGTGTCATAGTTATCAGAGAGTTTGAAGTAGAGGACAAGGCTCATGCCCTCCCCGTCGCAGTCGCCATGGAACATTGCCACAGGATATGTCGGAATCTGCTCCACCAGACAAAAAAATCCCCCATGAGATTCACGAGGTTATGAAAAGAGAGTGAGAGATGGAACTTGGTCACCTACTTACCTGAATGTTGACGATGAGGAGGGATGGAACTTGGTCATGAGGCTGAACCTGTGGAAGGTCCAGGTGTTGAGCAATGTGGCTCACCTTTCTTGGAGTCATGAATAAGTCCACCCCTATTGGCACATATGGGCTTATCTCTGGAGCAGGTTGCTTCTGCTTGTTGCTGCATTAGGCCACAAATTCACAACCATTTTTTAGTAGACTTCTTCTAAACAATATTCCAATGTTTCCTTTTGATTCTCTAGATTTTCCGGGATGCTTACCTGAAGTAGTTGTCGCCGCGGAGCTTGAACACAGAAGGGGAGACCTCGGACCATGTACCAGCGATCGGCTTCTCTTCTCTCGCAATCAAATTTCCTGCTCGTGGTCTGTAGCACTTCTTCTCTGTGGATGAGCCTACATTCCATATCATCAATCAAACTCGGTTATCTAGCCATCAAATGAAACAAAACTAACGAAGTTTTTCGCTTGCAAAACAAACTCACCTTTTGCAACAGCCTCCCCATCGACGGATGTCCTCTTCATGGCGACCCTAATGACGGTAGATTTCCTCTTCTCCCCGAACTCATCGCCTTCCCCGTCGATCTTCATGTAGCTCTCGTAGAACCCTTCGTACTTGCACTTGTTGTCCATGAGTCCTGAAGCTGCTTGGAGAAGCTGAGCATTTGGCATGTGGCTCATTGCATTGCTAAAACCCGGGAAACCCTCTGCATATATATGCCCAAACAAACAATTCAAATCACTAATTTATTTTTTGTTTTGATCACCAAAGTTCATGATTTTGGGTTTCCATGATCGATGATCCTCACCATGCATGCTAATGTAGTCGTCATCTGAATCGGATTCAATGAAGCTGACCGAATCGAACCAAACTTCCTCCTGACTAATTCCTACACAACCGAATTAACGAATTAATCAATGTAATGTTGCAAAGAGCGTATCAAGAAGGTTGTGTTTATTTCCGAGTGAGGTAAGAGACCATTTTGATCGATGTGGCATTGGTTCCATTGGAGCTGGGTGACGTGGAAACTCTTATTGGAGACTTCAGACCTCCTGCAAGTAGTGGCTGAGCCGTTCTCGAAATTGAGTTGGACGAACTCACTCATCGAAGAGAAATCGCCGATTCCTGCATTGCTCAGCCTCTTGATCGGAGCAGGCACATCCGGGATGGCGCTCGAGATCTTGGCCGAACGCCTCGAGAATCTCCTCCGCCTCTTCTCTCCTTCTGGCCTCACTCTTCTATTAGCGGATGAAGAAACACAGCCCCCCATTATTGGTTTTTGTTTCCTTCTTCTCCTCCTCTGTTTTTCGTTAAAACCCGCAGCTAAAAGTCACCACGCAAATTGGAACCTGAAAACAAACAACAACAGAGAAAGACTCATCTCGTTCAGAAACAAGACATCTGCAATTCGAAAAAAAAAACATTTATATATTCCCAGTGAAAGATCGTACCTTTAACTGCGGGAAATTCCGAGAGAAAAAAAAAAGTTTCAAGCTATATCTTCAATGGCTTCATGTACAGGAAGCAGAGCAGCTGTAAGGTTTGAACTCCAACGCCCAAGAAGCACACCTGAAGAACCATAAACACAAAGGTAAACAAAGAGCCCACGTCCATTATAAGAGAAAGCTTTTTTTCTCTCTTTCCTATTTCCGATCGCAATTCGAAAATGGAATAGCAGCTAAAAGAAACAAAAGAATGGCTGGGAAGTTGGTTTCCAGAGATGGCAAATCAGACTCTGATATGTAAATGAACAAACATCACTTTCACGATCGTGATAACCCAACAATTCCATATATCAGGGAGCTAAAAAAAACACACACACAAAAAACAGAGTAAATGAGAAAGGGGGAGAAAAGAACAGGGGAAGAGAAAGAAACCTGAGGGAGGGTAGGGAAGGGGGGAATTCCAGCATAGGATGGAATCGGGAAACCCAGAAAGGAAATGAGGATTTGGGTCTGAATTTCCCCCCTTCAAAGCCTTGCGTTGTTAGTGGCCGAACCCGATGTGCAAGAGAAGAAGGAGAAGAGAAAACTACTGATACATAAAAGGAGAGAGGGAGATTCTGAGGGGAAGCCTTCTCCCTCTAAATTTAATAAGAAGGGAGAGGCAGGGGAAATGAAGAACAGGGGAAGCAATCCAGAAAAAGGAATAGAAAGAGAGAGAGAGGGTAAGGGATGAATTGACTTGTTTTTCGTTCCTTGCTATTCATGCGGGGGATTGCTATTTTGTTATATTACTATATGATGCACCCTTTTGAATCTCTCACTGATCCATCAATCATTAGTCTTTCTTTTGATTCCTAATTTGGTGGCTCTGTTTCTTTGCTTTTGTTGGGTTCCCCTTCCATGTCGATTATGGTGATTGTGAAATATACTATTTTGGTGAAATAATGCTATTTTGATTCTGCAAGTTGGTTTCTTTTCTCTATTGTTATTTATCATAAAAATAGATCAAGTGGAGCAGCAGCCTGAAAATTCAAGGTGTGTTAGAGATAACAGTAATAAGAAGCTGGAATCGATAAACTAAGCTCTTCCTCGAGCTTTCCTCAACCGTTTCCATATACATGGTCCTTTAGTTGGCTCCGTTACAATTTCTTTTGGGTTATACTGGTCTTGTCTCCCTATTCAATATTCATCCATGGCGGAAAGCAAATTAAGATAAGGCGAAGGAGAAAGAAGAGAAAAAAGAATTTGCAGAAGAGAGGTGGGGGGTTCTTTCTTAATTCGACCGAGGCAAATTTGCAGAAGAAAGGAATTGGAATTTGATCGAGTTTTCTCTCGATGGCATGCAAGGGGCACAGTTGCCGGTCATGTGTCCCGAGTGTCCTCTCTTTCGTGTAGGAATTGGTATTATATCGGTATCTCAAATATCGTAATTAAGAATACAAAATAATGTCCTAAATTGTTACTAAATTTCAATCTCAAAATAAATTCAATATTTCAATCTCAACCGCTAATATTTTGTTTGGTATCGATTTATACCATATATAAAAAATTTGCATTAAAAATTATTAATAAAAATATAAAATTAAATACAGCTTTACTACTAGCAGCTCTACAAAGTATTTTCAAATATATATAAAAGCAAACGATGGTGCCAACACTCGTGCAAAACAATGGGGGAAAACTCAATTATAATAACAACTAGTTAGGAAAATGTGGTGTCTAACAAACATATAAACAAACTAGAGCAACAAACTGAAACAGACGAAGACTAAGCAGTTTATAAACATACTACATGTAATGAAATGGGCTACGTTTGTATTGTCGAATAGTGATAAAATTGGATATGTATAATTAAGTGGTCATTTTGGTGGTTGAGGTTTGATGGTCTGGTAGCAATGAATGGAGGATTCTAGTTGGGAGGGTTAAAATATACACTAGTTTATATTTGGGTATACACCTATCTCAATTCGAATTTGATCTCGTAAAGCCTAATATCAAATAACACTTGAAATTCAACTATAATCTCAATTGTATATAATAATACATATATTCGATGGTATCAAATATCAATCAGTATCCTAAATACTGGTACCAAACTTCTAGTCGCACTTTCGCTGCCGTATCCATTTCTAACACTTTTCCTATTAATATTATCATACAAAACTGACGGGCAACCCACACAAGAAAATGATCCCAGTTCTAGCCTCGATGAGGCTCCAATAATTTTTTTTTAAGAAGTGACATGCTAAATGGACGCCCCTATCTAATACTTAGATTAAACAAGACTAGATAATGTCCAAAGTATGGTACAAGATCCAAAATTAAGGCTTGTTTCTAAAACATCGAAAGCATGAAAGCCTATGTTAACATAATGAGTTCTATTAGCTAAAAAATTTCGCCTTCTTATAAATATGAGATCTTGATCTCTCAATATTTGTGTAGAAGATGATCAACCTTGTTGAAGCCCGCTTGATCCTCCGACTCCCCTTCCGTACGAGCCCTCTCCTTCGTGGATAAGCCTGCACTCACAGAGGTGGGCCTTGTGGCCCGTTAGTCCTCCAACGCTCAAGTTAGTGCTTTTTCTAGTGAGAGAAGTGCTTGTTACGCAATATTTTAGTGAGAGAAGCCAAATTGAGTAAATGCTTACCAACCTCGCTATTTATAACTGTTCATTGCTTACCTGGATCTCTCCGTACGGATTTCCACGTCACCACCGCATTTAATGCAAGTGATTCCGGGCGCCCTCTTTGGGCACGCACAACTCCCGGGCACACACCAGGCGCCTAACGTGCGCCTACTCACATCTCCACCTCATCAGGCGCTCAGGTCGACTTGCTCTCCTGGCCTAAACCCATGGGCGCCAGTTATAGCCCACTCCATTTCCCTAGACCCACCTCAGGGCCTTGAGTATGCTCCAACTTTCCTCGGTCTACTTAGACTCCGTACTTCTTACTGGGCCTCACCCACGTATCAAGGCCTTCTCATTCGAACACCCCCAACAATTGCCCCCCAGTTATGTGCTCAAGTTTTGGATACCTTGAGCGCCTAACTACTAGGCTTTTAGTTCCCTTCAACCACCTATCTCATCGTGACAGCCGCTTGCCCCCCATACACAAGTATTTGCTGCGACCGGCGCCTTTTTAGAACAGGCGCTTCAATTTAACTGATACACACAGGCGCCCAAAGCGTACCAAAGGCGTCTATGACTCAGGCGCCCTCAATCATTAATATTCGACTAACCTTTTTCCCGGGCGCCTCGGCTGCCATATGACTTTCGACTTCCTTCTTCTGGGCGCCTAAAATCCGACCCTCTTGTCCGCTCCATAGCAGGCGCCCTCCCTTCCCTCTTTTCTTTCCCGGGCGCATTGATTTCGCACTCCATTAAAGGCTCCTCCCTCTTCATTAGGCATCTCGCATCTGCCCCCCATTGCCCTTATTTTTCTCGGCGCCTTAATCCACCTCTCTTGTATACTTCTGCTAGGCGCTTCATCTCTTCCCTTTCTCCTCTGGGCGCCTCGGATCCGACCCTCACTGCCCCCCTCACAATCGCCGATTTGAATTTCCAATCGCGCGGTTGTGATTGGACCACGTGGCCATGGGCACGAATGTCGAGGCGTGATCCCTTTTACCCTCTTTAAAGGAGAGCGATCTCCCCTACAAAAACCTCATTCTCCCAATTTTCCTTCTCACTCTAACCTCCCCGCTCTCTTGCCGCGTTTTCTCTCTCTACACCTCCGTGCGTGCTCTCCTCGCGACGAAAGGATGTCGAACTCCCCCGCTGCCGATGCCGCCGCCGCCGCAGGTTCCTCGAAGGGCCCAGGCGCCTCATCCAAGCGTGGTAAGACACTTTATATATATATATATATGGTGGCTTCTATCGTACCTTGGGTAAAATCTAGGGTACGACATACCATGAGTAAAAAAATGCTATCTAGACCTCGAATTAACCGAATTTTTGGACATGATACTATACTCTAACCCTTGATGATTGAAACCTAGGTCTTAGATTTCTAAATCAAAGAGCCTAATCCCTAAGATTGTGCCTGTAATTTTTTGCATATATTTCGACAAATCATAGCCGTTGATTTTTGTTTCTAATTAAATTGATCTTAGTGTATGAGATTTATAAAACTAAGACCTAGATTTTAATCCTTAAGGGTTTGGGAATAATAGCAGACGCCAAACTATGCTCAATTCGAGGTCTAGATATCATTTTTTACTCAAGGTATGTTGTACCCTTGATTTTACCCAAGGTACGATAGAATCACCCATATATATATATATATATATATATATATATATATATATATATATATATATATATGTTAGAGGCGCCGCTCACCTACCCCCGGTTATGTGCGCCTGCTTGGATTGTTTAGCGGGGGCGTCTTCGCTATCTACCATGCCAGCGCCCTCGTCGACCTACTACGTGCCGGCCGATGGGTCATACAAAGTGACATGGTGGGAGAACACTTGGCCACCCGAGTACGCGCCCTGGGAAACGACGTGTCTTCCTACGAACGTGGCAGGGCTTGAACATAACTCTACCATATCGGAGCCTTGGATGATCAGCTTGATTGCAGGTCTCGGACTCCCGCGCACGTGGACCTATGCGCCTCCCTCGCCCATTGCTAGGGTCGGGCTTTGTGGCCCCAAGTGGTTGGGCATCTATCAAGAGTATTTCCGGTTTGGGCTCCGTTTTCCCATTGACCCTATTCTGAAGGGAATTTTGGATCTTTGTGGGTGTACTATCGGGCGCCTATCCCCCTCTGTGATGCTGATTGTGGTGCTTTTCAAGTTGAAGTGTCGGATCCACAACGTGCGCCCGACATTCAATCTTTTCCGACATTTTTTCTCCGTGGTACCACGAGACAACTGCCTGACTTTGAAGCATCACAAAAAAGTACGTGCCCAATTTGTGAGACGGTGCCCAAAATTTGGTCGGAGTTGGTTCACCGGCTTTTTCTTCGTGAAGGCGCACAGGGACTACTTTTTTGAAAGTGGTGGCGCCTTCAGAACGGGTTGGGAGCTTGGTGATGAGAGGCGGTTTAACGCTACTGTCAGACTCAGTCAAGAGGAAAGGGAGGGCGCCGCGCTCATAAGCGCGTCTCCCGTCGATTTGCGCCCCACTAGTGCCCGCGAGCCCGTCTTAAACGAATATTATAGAGATGGTGTGTTAGGCGCCTTGCTTGCTTACTTCCCTTTTTAGGCGCCTGTACTAATGGTTTTGATTTGTGTACAGGTACCAACTTCTCTCGCATTGCCACCTTGATACAGGGCCGATACGCGAAGATGACACAAGAGGCGCCCCGCGCAGCCACCACTGCTCGTGCTCAGGCATCACCAGCATCTGTTTCGACCCACCAACTGACGGGCGCCCTTACGGCGAAGGAGACAGGTCAGGCGCCTGAAGAGAGACCCGCAAAGACCATCGGAGATGGATGCGCCTGAGGATATACTTGTGGCTGATGCCGTCGATGAACAAGGGGAGTCCGAAGACGACATGCCCTTGCTGGCTCGCGGGAAAAGGGCAGGCGCCCTCCTGGTCAAACAAGGGAAGCAACCCCGCCTCGAGGAGGCGCCTGATGCTGGGGCTCAGGACAAAGGAGGCGCCCCACCCCGACGGTTTACCATATCGGCCGGGCGCTTGCTTGGGCCTGATGGGAAACCGCCTATGATTC